TAAATTCCACAAAAGCAGAGCTTTATTTTATTCAATGAGGTGCCCTAAATGGCAAAGACTGAGCCTAGCACGCAATAGTTGCTCCACAATTTTTTGTTGAATAACTAGATGAAACTACAGATCAGAAAGCCAAAGTTTAGAGAGTTGAGTTGCTTTTCTAAGATCACATCACAAGCAGTTGCTAACTCTTACCCTAAGTCTACTAAGTTTAATTGCTACAGATGGAACTTTTGTATTCCATAATTTAAAGATGCAAGATCAGACACTCCCGTGTTCCACTCCTGGGTAGTGCAAAGGGAAAAAGGACTGGGTCACATTGCTATACTCCTTTCCAGCCTGTTCTCCATAGCTCCTTTGGAAGGTGTGGCCCTACATCTGGGGAAGGGTTATTTCTAACCTAGGACATTTCGTTGCATGTGTTTTCCCTCACAGCTCTGGGAAAGGGCTCAGATCTGGAAAAAGCCATCGCTACTGCTGCTCTGATTTTCCGAAATTCTTCTGACCCTGATGGTAAACTTGGAAAAGCTACTGCCAAAAATCTGCTGCAAACCCAATTTAGGAATTTCACAGAGGTAAGAGAGTTAACATGCATGGAGAAATAGGGGTCATACCATAATATCTGGCCCAAAGACCAACAACTCTAGCTCAAAGCCTCTATCATGTTGTTTCATTCAGCAAATATTTATTGAGCATCTACTGAATATGAGGCAATAAGCTAGGTACTGAGGTTAAAACAATGAACAAGCTAAAAATTCGACAGAGTAAAAAAGAAGCTAAAAAAAACCATTAGAAATATTCAAAAGGTGTGAAAGAGTAAGAATACAATGAGAGACAAAAACAAAGAGACCATCTTGGGGTGGGTGGTAAAAGAAGGGCTCCTGGAAAATTAAGGTATAGCTAAGATCTGGAGAATTAATAGGAGTTAGCAAGGCAAGGGCAATGAGAATGATAGCCTTCCAAGCAGAGGGAACATCCTATGCAAAGGCCCTAAGGCAGGTCAAAGTCCTAGAAGGTCAGTAAGCAGTTGGTGAGAAGCAGGGGTAGGAAGTAGGCCCTGATGGGAGAAGAAGCAAAGGAGTTTGAGAGAAGCCAAAACTTTCAGAGGCACACCCTAGGGGAAGGAGGAAGCCAAGAATAGTTTCTAAGTCCAGGTGTAAAGAAATTATACCAGCTGCAGCACAGAGAACAGATTGGGGTGGAGGTGGCGGCGGGACAAGTAAGGGAATAACTTCGGGAAGCCATCCAAAGATGATGATGGCTGGGACTGGAGTAGTGAAAATGGAGTGAAACAGACAAATGACAGAGATATTTACAAGGCAGAATGAATGGGGCCTGAAAACCAGTTGA